GATAAGCAAGCATTTTATTCCAACAAACTGCTTGCATGATTCTATGCAATTTTTAAAGCACCTAACATTTATAATATGGCAATAATAATTTATTAAAATTATCCAGAGCAATAATAAGGTATTGAAATAAATGCTAATTTATTAAAATTACTGGTAATTTATGTGAGCCAATACTCATAATTTATTAAAATAAATGTTAATGTATTAAGACTACTGTTAATTTATGTGGGCAAATAGCTATAATTTATTGAAATAAATGCTAATTTATTAAAATTACTGTTAATTTATGCGTGTTAGTACCCATAATTTATTGAAATAAATGCTAATTTATTTTAATTTATGCGGGCTAGCATTCATAATTTATTAGAATAAATGCCAGTTTATTCTATATAAGTTATTGTTAATTTATATGGGCCAATATTCATAATTTATTAAAATAAATGCTAATTTATTAAAATCACTGTTAATTTATGTGGGCTAATACCTGCAATTTATTAAAATAAGTGCTAATGTATTAAAATTAATTGTAATTTATGAGGGTCAATGGTCATAATGTATTACAATTAATGGTAATTTATTAGAATTATTGTTAGTCTATGGGGTCTAATAAGCATATTTTATTAAAATTAATGATAATTTATTAAAATTGCTGATAAGTCATGGTGTGATCCTTCAGACCCAGGCAGCAAATATGAGATTTGCTCAAATGGCACTCAGCTCCATGTTCAGGCTTCTTTGCCATTTGAGCAAGCTGCTGTGACAGATGTAGGGAGAAGGTCTTTCTCCATCACCTTGTCAGCTTTTGCTGTTAGCTTCTGTGAGTTCTCTAGAGGTTTTTCTGTTCACCCCAGCTAGAAACATGGACACATAATCCAGTATCTAACCATACACATCCTAGTGGAAAGTCTGTGTGTGTATGTGTGTGTGTGGTAGTGAAAACAGAATTTCCAGAGAGTTGTATTATGCTTCTCAGTAGATGGATGATGTGCTATCTGCTCCATGGTTATGATTCCATTTTCTTGAGCCATTTTGGGAAGCTCTTTTGATTTTAATACCGTCTTCCGCATTTATTCCCACAGGATGGCTTGATTGTCGAAAATATGCATGACCGGCCCTACGTAGTTGATGTTGGTGCAGAAGTTACAGCGGCCATGGCGGTAATTTGTGCCTCAGTAAAACAGGCGTGCCCCACTCTCCCCATGGGGGTTCAAATACTGTGTGCTGCAAATCAGCAAGCTATAGCAGTTGCTCTTGCTTCAGGTAAGTAAAGGAACTTAGGCTCCTTGACAGGCTAAACTGAATATGAGCAAGTTGATGAAACCTCTGCTTCCTACAGCTCATAGAACGTTCTTGCAAAGCCCTGATGAACTGCATAGCCATGTGTCACAAGGGCTGTGCAACACTTCAGAGTTCTTGGGAGTATGAATGTAGCATCCACTTGCAACATAGCAGCTATGTCTAAAGATGCAACTGCTTTAAGGAGTTGCAGACAGTGCTTTGCTGCAAAGCACCTTTTGGAGACTGAATCTAAAACCTTACTCAGTCTTACAACATACAGGTAGTCTTCAGGTTACAACACCAATCCCAGCATCCCAGTTGCCATCTTAACCCCAGCACTGTGTGGGTTGTTAAGTGGTGAGAGGCAAGAATCCCAGGTAAGGAATGGGGTGCTGCAAGTGGGTGCTGGGGAGCGCGGGCAGGCTGGGGAAGGCCTTGGGCAGGTGCTGGGGAGTGTGGGCAGGCTGGCGTGGCTGTAGGCAGACATTGCTGTGAGCAGACGCACACTACAGAGTGCGGGCAGGCAGCGGGTGCTACAGGGTACGAGATCCCTGGGATCTCATACTCTGTAGTGGGGCTCCTCAGAAGAAAAAGCAGCAGGAACGACTTACAGGAGCAACTTGTGTCCTTCCCTACTGGCTTCCACATTGCCTTCGTTTGTGGGAAGCCAGCAGGGAAGGCTGCAAATCATCATCGTGTGACCACGGGGACACTGCAACAGCTGCAACTTTGAGGACCGGATGTAAGTCGTCCTTGTTCAGCGCTATTGTAATTTTGAATGGTTGCTGAATGAGTAGTCGTAACTTGAGGACTACTTGTAAAATGTGTTTCATCTTTCCTGGAGAGGGAAAGAGTTGGCTGGCAAACATGAACAGCGAAGAAAGAGGCAGACCTCAACTGATGATAGTTGTGATTTATTTGATAAATAATGCCGAGTATTTTTTACTGTAGGTTTTCTTAGAGGAGCAAGGACATCATATGTCTCAAGTGCTTCTAGTTATGGCTTTTAAGGAGCAGTTGCTTGCTTCAAACATGGAATACAAGAGGGACGCAGTCAGTGTCATTTTTCATTTTCTAACCTTTGTTTTTCTACTACTTTGGTCTTTTTTATTTCCAGAAAAAAATCCATTAAGGAGTGACAGATGGAATAGCTACAAAGTTGTATTTATTATTGCAGTTTGTTATGTTTATACCCTTCCTTTCTGTTTGGGAGCCCTTTTTTTAGTACAACAAAAGCAATTCACTTAAAATAATATATCAACTTTGTCCCAAGAAAGACAAGTTGCAACACATTTGCTATCTTTCATAAAATAAATTACATTCTACCACCAACTTGGACCCTGACTTTTTCTTTGTGATTATTCAGTCCTTGTCCCCCTACCTCTGTACTGTCCTGATGTTGGCATAATTGGTAACTTAAAAAAAAACCAAAAACCAAGAAAGGGAAAAATTGCTCAATGAGCACACAGTTCAAAGGCCCGGAATGTGTATAACATTTCTGATCACCACTCCTCCTTCCCTCTTGCACACAGTTTGGTGCAGAGTTTTGTTAGCCGCAGAGTTAAGGCTCAGTGTAGGGTTAGGGTCCTCTGATCAGGACATGAAAGCCACCTTCTGTGTGCATTCTGCAGCTGACCATGGATAGTATTAACACGAGGGCTGCTGGTGGGGTAATGGTGCACCTTTCTTGGTTTGACAGTGGAAAAGAATTAGGAGAACCACAGTACTTTGCACGTACTGTGATTTGACATAGGTTCATCTATGTCTAGATCCCTGGCTGGGTGGAACTCTCAGCACCATTATCTCAACTCAGTATGGTCAACAGTCAGATTTTTATAAATCAACAAGCAGTGATTGCCAGCATTAGGAAGCCCTGTTGTAGGAGGCAGCACATTTTAAGATCTCTTTGAGCTCTCCTGCCATAATCACATTAACAATTGCTTTATACTTCTTCATGACAGATATCAATTGATGGCTTTCTTCCATTTAGTTCAATCAAATGGTACAAGGGATTAATTTTAACTCATCATGATTGCTCATCTAATACAAGTTAGACCTCAGGATATGACAGTAATCTACTGTAATGAACTATTATACTTCTGTTGAATTAATGAAATCCTCTTAAGAAGAAATTAAATTAACCTGAACTTAATGAGAGTGTCAGTGTAAGCCAGTGGATAGTGTCCATCTTGCATCTGGGTTCGTATCTGGGTTCCCCTGTGCAGTGAGTTGGACTTTGGTACCGGTAGACTTTTCAGTCTTTGTGCCTTTGTAAAAGGGGAACAATAAATTACTAACCTTTTTCACAGGGTTATTGTAGGGCTGATGGAAGTATGTAATGTTTAGCACTTTGGAAAATGTGCATTTGAATGAACCATGCCAGTAAGAAATCTTTGTAGAACCAATAATTAGACTTCAATTTGCTTTTAGTATATTTCAAACAAAAAGGATGACTGCATATTTTAACAAAGTCTACTTTCTTTATGGCTGGAGCATTAATAATAAAAAATTCTGCCCACAGAGCCTTGGCTATGCTTGGCTGGAATACTGATTTAAAATTTAAGCATTTCATTTGTATGGTATATGGTTTATGTATAAAAGATGATTAATATTGAGAACATATATTACTTTTATACAATCTTTTTAATGTATCTTGATGTTGACTATGACAGATGAATTGTCTATTATACCTAACATCTGTTCTCTAGCTTTGGCACTACTTTTCATATTACATTTTATTTTCAAAAACGATAATGCCATTTTTCCCCTTTCAGTGTTGCAGATGAATGCGTTGGTTTACTTAAACAATTAGGCTCTTCAGTCAATAAGCAGAATTGATTAGACAGCAGATATGTCTTCATATTAAAGTGCACTTTATAACTTGTTTTCTTTTCTCTAATATTCTTTCTATAATTTTTAAAAAGACTTTGAATATGAATGTTCTTTTTTAACCTTGGAATGGCTCTTGATATTCATTTACTTTGAATTAAGGTGACTTCTGGATTTTTTTTTCAACATTAGTGCAATTCTAATAGCTTTGAATTATATAAAGATTGCTAAAACTTAAATTGCCATTGGATTATTGATTTTATGCATGTGTAATTAAGAATAAATCCAGCAGAATCCAGAGATGAGGAACTTCAACACCACCTCTGTTTCCGACAACTAGCCACTTGCAAACATTTGTAGAAACCATGAATAAGAAGCAAGTATGTGTCTGGGTTTACACAGCATGCTAAAGCATGGTTTGTTTAATCAAGGTTTATTGAATAAATCATACTTGACTTGGTTATTGCAATACACAATCATACTAGGTGAAAGTGCTAAGCCAAAATCAAATGTATCATATAATCACTTACTAAGTGCCATGAACACATCTGATTGATTAATTGCTGTGACAGATCTCCATGGGTCCATCGGTAAGCTTTGTCTTATTCCCTACAAAAAGGCCCTTCTTTAATTTGGAACAATATGAGCCAAACTTTTCCTACATAAATCGGAATAATTTTTTCCAGAAATTGTAGCTTTTGGGGGAGTGAGGATCTTTCAATATTTCTAATTCCAGGATCAACATTCATTGAAAATCTGTAAGATTTTCCTTTTCGGTTTTCCCCATTTGCATTGTTTTTCCTGTTTCTTGGATGCAACTCCCACCATCTATTTTTTTCTCTTAAAACAAGCAACCAATATGGTACTCTTCTGCTGTGATACAATCCAACCAAGGGATTACATTTTGTAGGCACACACAGCATGAAGGAAGGAAAGACTCATCAGTTGATGACCTGTTGTTCTACTCTTTGAGCATATTACGAAGTCTAGCCTTGTTCAGCTATGCGTGTCTGATATACTGTATGTATATATATGGAAATAGATATCAACTTGACTCATGGGAGAATTCATCTGACTTCCCAGAATATCAGCTCAAATTGAATCTTGAACCTTGACTGCATTTTTCCCATTTTTAAAGAGGACAATCTTTTATAAATAGATCTCTACTGAACTGTAGATTCGTTTTTTTGAAGATGCTGCCATTATAAAGCCTCTTGCACAGTATGGGTAACTACCCCATAAAGCCCTACTCATGACTTGTACTTAAGCTTGATGTAACCTTGTCACCATAGTAACGGGCTGAAAAAAAATCCAGCTTTCTCATATGGATGTGAATGCCACATATGTTGCTGGATGTTTTCAACACGTTGGACCTAACTGATTATATGTAATCTTAAGTACCACCTAACATCTGGCCATTGCTGAAGGCTAACCTATTTCACACACAGCAGCCTCTCCATGCCCTTCAAACATAGCATTATCTGTTCTTCGGCCTCTTTAAGTGCCCCCGGTTTGTACAAAACTTCTTTCCTTTTGAACTGCTTCCTTCACAGGTTGCTGAACATGATGCTAGGCAGGAAAGTCCATTGAGTTTTGCTTCCTTTTTAAAATATTTGGTATAATGGGGCAAGGCTGGGGTAGAAGAAATGGAAGGAATTAAGAGCCTAGTGCTACTTCAGTGAAATAGGAATGAAGAAATAAAGAATCTCATAGGGATGGAGAGCTTTTTTAAAATTACTGTATTAGCAAGCATTTCGAAGGACTGCTGTTAGAGATTCCTGCAATCTTTTCTGTTGATTTGAGGGATTTCTATCTAGCAGAATATATATATTTTTTAATGACAAGAGTAATGTATTTCACTGGCATGTCTGGAAATGTGTTTCTTCTTGATTTTTCCTTGTTTCTGAGCGGGAACACACAGCCGAGTTTCTCCAGTGTCTGAAATGGTTTGCCAAGCTTTGTTCACAACTGTTTCATTATTAACAGGTGTACCATGTGTTTTTCAGCAGTGCATAATTTCCTGTGCAGAGTTCCTGATTTAATTAACCACATCTGTTTGAGGCTGCATAGGTGATGTGTATTACTGAGTGGCAGAATATTTGTGGCATCGATAAAGATACAAATATAGATGCATTCCACACTGCAGCTATTATTTTTACTATCTTCTTGATAATGTTCAAAAGCACTCAGGCCATATTGCTAGAACCATGTTCGATTCCTCCTCCCCCTCCTCTCTGCAACACTGCTGTTTCTTTCGCATCTGATTTAGTGATAGAAAAATTAGACCACAGTACATTAAAGTCAAAAGCGAATACTTTAGGGGGTTGTATCCTGTCCTTATGCTCTGCAGCTGGTTATCTAGTCTATATAGTTACTGCATTGTGATAATCATTACAGTCATGGGTTTCATTTCATGTAGTTTAGGACTACTGTTTCATTGCAGAGCCAGCTTGGTGTGGTGGTTAAGGCACCAGGCTACAGACCGGGAGACCATGAGTTCTAGTCCCGCGTTAGGTACAAAGCCAGCAGGGTGACCTTGGGCCAGTCCCTCTCTCTCAGCCCCAGGAAGAAGACGACAAAGGCAAACCACTTCTGAAAATCTTGCCAAGAGAACAGCAGGGACTTGTCCAGTCAGTTGCCAGGAGTCCAGAGTGGCTCAAAGGCACAATAAACAAACAAACAAACAAACAAATTGAAGAACTTATAGTTTCCAACAATCAAATGAGACTGCTGGGCCTATAGTAAACCAAAGTCTCCCTTTCTTTGAAGCATTTCTTTGTAACCTTACAGTGTAATGTGTTGTGCTGAAGAACAACTTTTTAACAAAATGAAACAGCGAGCTGTTGTTCATACGGGTTGCTGAAAGAGGAGACTCTTGCTTGTTAAAGTGGGTGAGCCCAGATACATTCCTGAATAATTCTCTATGCTGAAAAATCTGCTTGCACTGCAAAATTTCCTGTTTGTTTCCTTGTCAACTCTTGAGTTTCTACCCTAGAAACATAGCCTGGTCCCATTTATATTGCAGAATTGTGGGGTTACGACATGTATTCTTAAAATAATCTTACATGGTAAGAGAGGACATGATGTTTGTTGAAGGACATGCAGAAAAAAAGAGAAAAAGATTGGATTGAGATTTTATTCCTGCAAAGTCTTTATCTGTGTTTAGCTTGCTAATACACCATTGGTCTTTCATAATGTAGCCTATTTTGTCTTGGGGCTCATCTGGAAAACATAATTAAACATAACTGAGGACGAAGCAGAATCCATTAGCTTTTATCACAGCGCTGACTGACTGACTGACTGACTGACTCTTTCTTTCTTTCTTTCTTTCTTTCTTTCTTTCTTTCTTTCTTTCTTTCTTTCTTTCTTTCTTTCTATTTCTAGGTGCAGATTTTGTTCGAGTTGAAGGCTTCGTTTTCTCTCATGTGGCTGATGAAGGGATTCTGAATGCTTGCGCTGGGAACTTGCTAAGATACCGGAAGCAAATCGGAGCTGAACACATCCAAGTTTTTGCTGATATTAAAAAGAAGCACAGGTAAATAGGATCCATTCTGAAAAAAAATATGCCCAATACTGCATTCTGACTATTGTGGTTTTAATTTCTAAAGTCTTTTACATTTTCATTTTTATTATTTTATCACCTCTGTTATGGACAGTAACCTACTATCATAGTGAGCAGAGTATAAATAATTCAATAAATGAATGAATATTTGGCCACAGGAGCCACTCAAGAAGTTCACCTCAGTAGTAATTATTAGTTTCTTGTTTCCATGGATGCCGCTCACAAGTGACAAACGTCCATATTTACCAAGTGAATCTTCATGCAGGATATAGTGGCCAAGGACATTGATTAAAGAAACTCTGGAAGAGTTTGAAACAGCGAGGAATGCCCTGTGCATTCATATATGTGGATACAAGAACAAAAAGGTCCTTGTTTTCGGATTACATCGTTTTCACAGTGTGGTAAATTGAATGAACAGCTACTACAAATACAGTGATGGGGGTCACTGTTACAGTATTTAAGCTACAGCATGATTTATTCATTTTTGGCTTTGAGTATTATATGAACCGGTCATGATAACACTATATACTATAGTTTATGTGTAGAGCAATGTGTGAATTGAGCCAGTTAAACCATTGCTTTGTGCAATGTATGAATCCAGCCATCATCATCACCATAGTTGTCATCATCATTTTATCCCGCCATAGATGGATGGATGGATGGATGGATGGATGGATGGATGGATGGATAGACAGACAGACAGACAGACAGACAGACAGACAGACAGACAGATAGATAATTTAACTCAAGGCAACACGCGCACAATACTCCTGCCTTCTATTTTCCCCACAACAACCCTGTGAGGTGGGTTGGGCTGAGATAGAGGGACTGTTCCAAAGTCACCCACCCGGCTTTCATGCCTCAAGTGGGACTAACAGTCCCCTGGTTTCTAGGCCAGCACCTTCGCCACTACACCAAACTAGCTGTCTATGTTTTGGCAATGGCTAATCAGCAAATGCCACTGCACTATTCCCTGATTTATCAAGTCAAGGAAATTATAAGGGAATTGGTAGAAAAAGAAGCCTAATGAGTAAAGTGGCTACTGATTACTTTATAAACGCTGTATCCTTCTTCTCCCCAGTGCTCACACATTGACAGCTGATGTCACGGTGGCAGAAACTGCTAAGGCTGCTGAATTCTTTCTTGCTGATGGGGTTGTGTTGACTGGAACTGCAACTGGATCAGAGGCAGATCCCAAAGAACTAGAAGGTAAGAACTATAAAGGCCACATAGGAGGAATTCCATTGGTTTGTTGGTTATTTATGTATGCAAATATTTATATACCACCTGCTTCAAAACATTCTGTTCTAGTAGAGTTATTAGCTTGCATCATCTCTGGAAAACGAATTCCATTGGTTTGTTGGTTATTTATGTATGCAAATATTTATATACCACCTGCTTCAAAACATTCTGTTCTAGTAGAGTTATTAGCTTGCATCATCTCTGGAAAACTTAACTTTTCAAAATCCAGTTGTTCCTTCTCTTCAGATCTGTTGAGATCTAGCTAGCTATGTAGCTATCTCCACTCAAAAAGAAAATAGCTCCAAATATCCAAATATAAAAAATGATGGGTTGCTTGAGTATTGCTTCAGTTCTTCCACTGTGTGATTTGGCTTGGATCCATTTTAATCTCATAGAATTGTAGAAAAGACCACTAGAATCACCAGGTCCAACCTTCTGCAATGTGCAGGAAAACTAAATAAACCATCTATGACAGGTACTCATCTAGGATCTTCTTAAAAACCTCAGAAATGGAGAATCCACAATCTCCATAGGTAGACTGTTCCACTGCTGGACAAATCTTATTACCACGAAGCTTTTCCTTTTATTTAAATGAAATTTTGGTAGCTGTAACTTATAATTGTTATTTTTGGTCCTGGTTTCTGTGACATGGAAAATAGTTCTTGACCACATTCGCTATAGCAGGGTTCCTCAACCTTGGCCACTTGAAGATGTGTGGACTTCAACTCCTAGAATTCCCCAGCCAGAATTCTGGGAGTTGAAATCCACATATCTTCAAGTGGTCAACGTTGAGGAACACTGCCCTATAGGTTGCCTTGAAGTAGCTCATTTAAAAGCAGATATTATTAGCACTTTTTCTGGCTGTTAGGTTTTATATGAAATGCTTAAACTTAATTTTAAGTGTTTTACTATATAATAGGGTGTATACTGTGTATTTCTCATTTCTCTTAATTAAAGAAAGGGGGAAAATAGAAATGCTTAATTACTGATAGCTGTAAGGCATTAATAACAGCATAATTCATAATTTTTTCAAAACCTTTTTTTAAAAGGTTATGTCTAATGAAAAAAAACATTAAAGGTGGAAAATAGTATATATAGCCTGGAAACGGATGCTCCATTAAGAAAAACAACATCTTCAGAAATGGGGCACCAGCAATAACTTCTAAACACCAATGGGATTATGATTTTGCAGGTTGATTAAGCTATTTTAAGGTTTGTATGTCCTAGAATGAAGTAGTTAAATAAGTACCTGAAATTTGCGCTGGTGGTTTTTGTTTTTTATTTTACCTATGATTGAATTTATACTCTGCTTTTTTATATATAATTTTTATTGAAAGTTTTAACAACAGGAAGAAGAACGAATACAAACTAAAATAGAATGAAAAAGAAGAAAGAGAAAGGGAGAAGCAAGAAAAAGCTAAAAGTACAGAAAGAACAAAGAACAAAATTAGAAATAAGAAAAAAAGATATAAAGAAAGATATAAGGAAGTGGCTTCTGATCTTCTTCATAGCAGCTATAAGTACAATTATATTTTAACCTCTCTCTCTAAAGTTACATCATGACTCTCTTCTTTCTGTAATCAATTCTGTCTGATCATCAAAACCATAAATCATAAGTTCGTATTTTTCTTTTTTATGCAAAAAGTCCACAAGGGGTTTCCAGTCACCAATAAATGTAGATATTGTCTTTTCTCTAATCAAACAAGTCAATTTAGCCATTTCAGCAAGTTCTGTCATCTTCACCAACCATTCCTCTGTTATAGGTATTGACAAATCTTTCCATTTTTGTGCGTGCAATAATCTTGCTGCAGTTATCATATATAAAAACAGTGTTCCGTGGCTGTTTTCTAACTATTTGTACTCTGCTTCTTTGTTTGTAAGGCAGCTTACAGTGGTTAAAAAGACAGAGGGTAAAGCATAGGATCCTGCTATACTTTCATAGAATAGGCATTTGTAGCCTGTTGTTCAGTCATTAAGTCATGTCTGACTCTTCGTGACCCCATGAACCATATCGTGCCAGGCCTTCCTGTCCTTCTCTGCCTCCCCGGGGTTGGCTCGTTTCATTCTTCTTTCTTTATTTGTGCTTTTCTAACCTCCTC